CCCAAACTTTCCATTGAAACACGTTATCACTGCATGGGCTTTTCACATTGAAGAACAACAGCACTTACATAATCCTTTTTAATGCTGAATGTGCTCCAATGATTTTTCAGTCAGGTTCTAATGAAGATGACAAATGGTATACGGCTGAACAGAAATGTCAAGATATCCCTTTGCATACGGCAGAAACTGAAACTGTTGCCATGATGAAGTGATGCTTTGGGTTTTTGGTGAATAAGCGTTCTGCAGTAAGTCTAGTTCGTGCATATGTTAATGTTAAAAAAACATTGATTTTGCCACATTGAGTCAGTCGGAGCTTATTCACCAAAACGCTTTAGAGTTCCCGCGGTTTGCAGTGAGTCTAAGTGCTCCCAGAAACCCACCGCTGAGGGGACAAGAAGCAGTCAAATCAATCAGACTATGAGTCAATCAAGCCGCTGATCGATCGGCCGCTGAATCAGTCAGTCGTGCACTGTTGGCGGTCCTCCGTGGAGTCAGTATGAGGTCTGTGTTGGCCGGGTCTTTGATCCCTGCCAGTGTTTACTTGACACCACTCACTGTTGCCTTGGGCTAACACACGCACATAAATGCACACCAGCACACGCCGACAGACACATATGCTGAGTCACACTTCCCTCTGGCCCTGTGCTCTCAGCCCCCATCGCATCTAGATCTGGCGGATTCCAGATACCATCCAGCAGATTAAAGGGAGGTGGTAGGGTGAAGAAGTAACATAATTAAGCCTCCAGTGAGCGGACGGTCCCGACACCACGAGGTTATCTCTTGTTTCTGTAGCGTGCAGCAGCTTATGAGTACAAATACACCGGCCTGTGCAGATGTCACCGTCCAGCTGCTGAAACGCTCACTGCCAAGCACCAAGCAGTTTTTTTTAATTTTCTTTATTCTGTTTGATTTTCGGGCTCACACCACGAGGACACTGATCTAGTGGAGATAGAGACAGAGCAGTTTAAATCTTGGGCTTTTCGCTCACTCAGCTTAATACATGCTCCAGGTAAAACCCTTTATTATGGGTTCTAGGTTATTAGAAGCCAAGTCTGTCCATTTAAACTCTCCCTAGTTTGGCCCTTTGCTCCTCTTTGCTATGGCAGCTTTCCTGTGTTAAGCATATGTTGTCCTAATATTTTCTCTCCCCACGCTGCACACAGTGTTACTGCAGTGTTTGTGACTAATGCACCAGAAATGTGACTGCTGTAAATCAGTCACAAAGGCCGTAACACAAGCGAGTCCAGCCAAAAAGCCGTGTTATTATGTGTTAGAGGCAGCTTTCAAGGCAATATAAGCCAACTTGTATAAAATGTAAAAAAGGCCAGGTACTGAAGGTGCAGCAATGATTTTGTACTGCCAGTGGTTGTAAACACTATAAAATAGAGTACAGAGGGCTACAGAGGGCTGCACACAGCGTGTGGGTGTCTATCATTTCATCGGGTGAAATGATAAAACAGAGGAACTCCAACAGTCTCAACATAATAACACCACGATCGCCAAAATCTCCACTATTACTGCTGCTGTTTGCACACAATTAGTGTAACACCAGGCCTCATTTTCCGATTTTTTAAAAGCTATTTGTATTGTACCTTACCAGAGAAACATTAGCAGCAGCCGGGCTGCGTCAAAGAAACGTTTTGTTTTTTTCACAGTGAAATCGCTTTAATTAGAGTTTCTTTACCATTTTGAGTCACCTGGTTAGTTTTGGGTTGCGATAATTCGGCTCCTGCGAAAAAACTCTGAAACGATGAAGCTTGAAGGAATCCTAACCGGGAGAAGTTGACTGCAATGACATTAGTGGTGGTGAAGACAACAACTCCCATGATCCCTAGCTGCTTTAGGACGTCACCAAACTGTGTCTTCTGTAATAGTTTTGATAGAGAGACCCCTAGCAGCAGAAAGTTACATATTTAGCGTCTAAGTGTTTCCGTATCCGACTGCACATTAGATTACCCTCTGAAGAAATCAATATCAATATGACATATTAATTCTGATTTGAGGGGGATTTTCTCTCCAGAATCTGCAACTTTGGGACTGACTGCTCTGTTTCTTCCCCCTCCGCAGGTTAGCAGAAATGGAGAACCGTAATGGCTCTTATCTGAATGACAGTATCTCACCCAATGAGAGCATGTGAGAACCGCTTTTTGTTTGCTTGCTTTGTCTTTGCCAACCCTCCTCAATCACCGATTGGCTCGCTAATGTGTGTACTGGCTATGTCGTCTTTGTTCCCATTGGCTGGTTGGGATATACGTCAGTGACTTATGTTTACATGTGCTCAAGATTCCCCTAAAAACGTACTTAATGCGAAGGAATCTGATTATTTTCAACAGGAAGTTTTGCATGGTGCAGAGAGAGTGTTGCAGTTTTAAATGAATGAATAAGATATATATTTTCAACAAGCTTTAAAGAAACTTTAATTGTTTTAAAATAGGATTTCATTCCACACACGCTCAAAGCAAATAGTCTGTGGACGCTTACAGATGTGAAAAATGTTCATGTATTTTAGTATGTCCGCTGCGAGACTCATTTCTAGCCCACTGTTTTTAGCAGCTAAGCTAGCTAGCTAGTAAATTCTACCATGCTCTCATGCTACACTGGTTCCAGAAAGATTGTACTAGCCAATCACAGCACAGCCAACGCTGTGTCAGGCTTTCAACACACAGAAGTGGGCGTGGTTTCACCTAAAGTGGGCTGGAAGAATGATGGATGCTTCAGGGACAATGAAGCGGAAAGTGCAATAAGTCCACACGCAATCTGACATGCAAAGTCAAGCCTGTAATTAGAATTGCAGAGTTAAAAAAAAATTGCTCCAGTGTAACACATCAACATAACTTTCAAATGCAGCTGGCTTGATGAAGCAAAAAAAAAAGATCCGGAGGCTGTTTTAAACCAGAGCTGAGAGAGCTACACACTCTAGTCTTACTTTCAAGTCAGCAATCATTAAAGGGGATTTGTTGTTCTCATACGGCACATGTCTGCCGCTCCTATATTATTCAGAATGGAAGACTGGCTGAGCTGAAAGCAGTGAAAACAGCAGCATCTAAATACCTGGCCTGTGGTGCAGTCCTGGTCAGCAGCTCTTTCAGTCACTTGCTGATTTTTTTCTTCTCCATTCTCTTGTGTGTGTGTGTGTGTGTGTGTGTGTGTGTGTGTGTGTGTGTGTGTGTGTGTGTGTGTTTCTGCGTGTGTGTGTGTGTTTCTGCGTGTGTGTGTGTGTTTCTGCGTGTGTGTGTGTGTTTCTGCGTGCGTGTGTTTATATGTTTGGCGTGTGTGTGCGTTTGCAGCGATGACGAGCACATGTTGATCCAGCACTACTGCCAGTCTCTGAACCAAGGCTCTCCTCTCAGCCAGCCCCGCAGCCCCGCCCAGATCCTCATCTCCATGGAGACGGAGGAGAAGGGAGAGCTGGAGAGGGTCCTCAATGACCTGGAACAAGAGAACAGGTCAGTGGACAGACCCGTCCCCCCTGCTACTGTCTTCTGTTGGCTGCGTCTTTACTCTCGGTCAGGTTATTTGCATGAAAATTGGGAAATAAATGGTTTGTATTTGTATTTAAATAAAAAACATCTCGGCATTAATAGTTTTCATTTTATATTATAAGCTGATTAGAGCTAATGTTTAACAGGTCGTAATTTATATATTGTAAAATATCTATTTTATGTTACTCTCAAAAACAAAACGTCACCATCTCTCTGAAGCAGTGGGCGTTTGATGTGTCACTTGTGTATCAGAGCTTGCAGCAGTAGATTAATTACTCTGCTGACCTCGCCACAGGAAGCTGCAGTCCGAGTACGACCGCCTGAAGAAGGCCCACGACAGGAAGGGCCTGTCCCCGCTGCCCTCGCCCCCAGAGATGCTCCCGGCGTCGCCGCAGAGTGCGCGCGACGCCGAGCTTATCGCCGAGGCCAAGCTGCTGCGGCAGCACAAGGGACGCCTGGAGGCCCGTATGCAGATCCTGGAGGACCACAACAAACAGCTGGAGTCCCAACTGCACCGGCTGAGACAGCTGCTGGAGCAGGTACTCGTCCACTCACTGTGGCTCTCTGCATACAGATGCCGAGTGGACAAATTTACATCTGCTGTGTCATTTTCTGTCGCTGCTCAAGTGTCACCCAAAAGAACGACCATGCCTCAGCTCTTTGTGTGAACTGAAGGACATTCTCATTGATGTTCCAACATTTTTGAATACATAATTTCCCCTATGATTATTCACCATATCTGTCATACAAAATAAGCCACAAACATTCAAAGCTTCATTCCAAAACCTCAATAGAAGCTTTGAAAGTAAAGAAATGACAAAGCTACTTCAGATCCATCACCAGGTTGTGGAAACAATTACGCCAAAACTGCTTTTGCCCACTCAACAATCTGCTGTTCAACATGCCCTTGAGCAAGGCGGTGCACCCTCACATGCCGCAGAGGACCCAGCTCCCTAGCTTGGTGTCCTGGCTCAATGAAACAGAATCTCAAAGTTGGTGTGAAGTTCTGACCGGTGAGCTTCGAGCTGAAGCAGCTTTCCTCTGCGCTGTCTAGCTGCCAGTAACAGCTGACACAGAGGATCGGGCCAACTCCTTAGTCCAACACACACAC